ACATTAAATTGGGGAGGTTAAAAATATTCACGAGGAGGTAGAATCTTTGAATTTCAGGAAAATCCTCTAGGGAAGCAGAAGAAAAAAAATCAAGGCAGAAGGAACAATGTTTTAAAAGATGTAGAAGGCGGAAACCATGAAGTATATTTAGGATCATGTTATTTGGAGAACATGATACATAGAATCATGAGAATTAAGGACATAAAAATATATTTGGATGAAAGCAAAGAGGGTCCTCAATAAATAAAATGAGCATACTTAAATATAATTTGATAACAGAAGATGAGCTATTAAGGGACTGAGCAGTATCTGTATTTCTCAAAATATGTTTAATACAATAATGTTCTAGCTGATCTTTCAATAGGTGGAAAAACATTTCTCAGGGAACCAAATAGATTTTGGATACACCTAATAAAATGCATTTCTGTGCAGATTTTCAGTATGGGTTAATTTGTATAGAAGAAAAATAAGTAACCTTCAGATATATAATTCAAACCTCCAGTCCTGAGGTCTGGGTGTGTGTGNTTTCTATATCCATATCTAATCAGTGGCCAAGGTTCATAAATTCTAACTTTGAAATATTGTTCTTATCAATTCTCTTTCCTTCCCATTGATAAGCATGAAGAGCAAAGAATATTACCTCTTGGATGGGACTAATAAATATTTTTGTGAAATTAAGTGGAAAGGAAAAGAAAAATATTAAATTTTGATAGAGATGAAATATCAAGATGGGTCAGCTGAATGTCTATAAACTGTTCTGATAATTTGGCATCTGTTTGCTAAAATCATCACAGTCCGTGTTTGACAGCCTACAGTGATATCTGCCCAACGAATAAATTTCTGTTCATCTTTCTAGTATGTTTGCCAAATAAATCAAAATACTAATTTAACTGACAATAAGAAAAGCCACTGTCAAGAGCACTGAACACTCAAATGTAAATGAAGTGAGTAAGAAGGGAAAACTGAGAAGGGCTAAAATACAGAGTAAACATCAATGAATAAAAGGAGCACAGTTATTCAAAGTCATCTAAAATTGACACCGTCTAGTTGGCTCACTGATCAACTAGAACAAGAATGAGTATATTAACATCTAAACAAAGAAAATGTAAGATCATAGGAGCATTAATGAGCCTTGCGAGATGCACTGGTCTAAGTCATGGCTAAGTTGATGAATGCCTCCTGCTTAGTCACTCAGTGTTTGCAACCCCATGAATTGTAACCCTGCCAGGCTCCTCTGTCCATGGGATTTCCCAGACAAGTATCCTGGAGTGGGTTGCCATTTCCTCCTCCAGGACATCTTCCTGACCCGGGAATCAAACCGGTGACTCTTGAGTTTCCTGCATTGGCAGACCGATTGTTTTCTACCATTGAAGCCACTTGGGAAGCCCAGCTCAGAAGATGGGGAGAATGAAGTAATCAGGGAAATGCAAAACAAAACCACACTTAACATCTGGTTTCCATCTTTGCCCCATTTCCACAGGCTAGAGGAAGAGAATTAAGAAACGTATGAAGGTTAAGTGGGGAGATCTAATTCTAAGGCTGAATTAGGATCTCCATTCTCAGACTTAAGGGAGGACTGTCACTAAATAAGCTGCCCTCTCTATCTCTAGTTCCTGCTTCCTTTGTCTACCTTATTTGCCTGAGAACTCACAATTATTATTTCCTTAAGTACCTACAATCTACAGAGCATTTAATTTAAAAATATATTTTCAAATTAGACTATTTTAGATTTTGTATTATATTTGTTTTTGTGTTTGTTGGGTCTAAGTCTTTAGCTTGTGACTATCAACTATTTTTAGTCAGTCACCATTTGTTATAGAATTAACTTTTAATAATATTATTCCCTCTTCTGTTTTAATGGAGAAATTTGAGTATTACTGTAGGTATTGTCTCAATTAGTGGTTTGATAATCCCTACAAAAAGCATTTCCAGACCACTCAACATTTCCCCATTATACTACTTAATTTAGCTCCCAAGTTTGCTCTCTTATTATTAAATCAATATATGTGAGGTCTCTAATTTCTGCTGATGCTTAGAGGCAAAATTTTAAACATGCTCTGTTAAGAAGTGAATCTTCACTATACCTTCAATTAATGCATAACTAATTACTTTAGTAAAACAATATTATTAATAAAATATATTAGATATTTTAAATTAAGTGATCTATTAGGATGGTCATTTATACTGAAGTGATGGTATTTATCTGTTTAAGAAAAGCTAGAATATATAAAAACTCTGTAAGAGCTTTGTAAGAGCGCTGTAAGTGTTGTAAACTCAATAATCAGAAACAACATGATTAGAAAATGGAAAAGGATCTGAATAGGTTTTTCTTCAAAGGTGATATGAAAGTGGTCAATAAGCCCATGAACTAATTTTAACATTATTAGTAATCAGGGAAATGCAAACCAAAACCATAATGAAGCACCACTTTGCATTCAATAGGAAGATTCTGACGCAAAAAGCAGATAATAACAAGTATTGCTGAGGACATGAAGAAACTGCAGTCATGATAGATTGCTGATAGCAATGTAAGATGATATAATCCCTTCAGAAAACATTTGGGAAGTTCCTAAAAAAAGGCTAAATAGAATTACTGGAGTGTGTGCTTGCTCAGTCACTTCAGTCCTATCCGACTCCTTGTGACTCTATGGGCTGTGGCCCACTGGGCTCCTCTGTCCATGGGGTTTCCCAGGCAAGAATACTGGAGTGTGTTGACACTTCCTCCTCCAGGGGATCTTCCTAAGACCTAGGAATTTAACCCTTGTCTTTTGTGTCTCCTGCGTTTCCTGCATTGGCAGGTGCTTTTGTTTACCACTAGCATCACCTGGGAAGCTCATGACTCAGCAATTTCACTCCTAGATATAGACCCAAAGAAATTAAAGGACATGTCCACATAAGAATCTTTATATTCACATTAAGAACGGCCTTATCCACAATGCTGGAAACAACCCAAATATCCATCAGTTGATGAATAGAAAAGTAAAAAGAAATATATCCATACAATAGAAAACTACTCAGTTTAAAAAGGAACAAAGTATTGATGCATGTTACAATATGGATGAACCTTAAAAACATTATGCCAAGTGAGAGAAGCCAGTCCAAAAACAGCACACACTGTATGATTCCATTCATAGGCAATATGCAATGTCCAGAAAAGAAAAATCTATAGAGATAGGGTAAGGTTTGTGACTGCCTATAGTTGGAAGACTCTGGATACAATGTGGGCTATTGCAAAAATGTAGACAGTTTCTTTATGAGATAATGAAAATATTAGGATCCAGCAGTGATACTTATAAAGCAATTCTATGAATATACTAAAAAATGCAAAATTGTATACCTTAGCAGGTTAATTATATGGCATATGAATTATATCTCAATAAAGCTGCTACAAAGAAAGTACTTTTGGTGGATTAAAGCACTTATTGTGTCACTTAATTGGGGAATTATTTTGCAGGTCAATCTTACTTACAGGAAATCCTTACTTAGGTAATAACGTTTTCAAGATCATCACTTTCTGTTTTAATATGACAAAATTCATTAGAGTATATTAGGAAAAGTCCTATTTGAGGAGATGCTGAAATTTTTTTAAAATTTATATGAAGTGCAATGTTCACCAGGCACTATTGTGTGCCAATAAATAATATTACTAGGAGTTGGCAAATGTAATTTAACCAGTCTATAAATACTAATGTGTGTTAGTGTTGAAGGGTTTCATTTTATCATTTGTGCAAGAATGAAGCTGACTAAATAAAACTGTATGAATCTGTGACAAAGATGGATGACAAAATAATGAAGCCATGTGGTAAGTTCTATGAACATTCAATTAGTTGGTGACAAAGTTTTCAGTATTTTATTTAATTCCATCAAAATGCTGAGTAAGTCCATCCAAGAAAACCAGTTTCATTTGTGGTCCTGTTACAGTGTTTCTGTTGCACATCTTAAAGGCTTATAAATTTATAGAATAGAAATATTTATACTCAGAACTTTGAGAAAATTGCTTCTGGGAAACTCTTTCTGAATAGAGCAGAGACATAATTAGAGGGAAAAGAGTTAAATCTACTTAAAAACACCAGAGGGAATTCACTGTTTTTCAATTATCAATTTCCTCCAAGCAGTACTAAATCCCAGGAAAGAATTTTCCTTTTCCTTGATTTATTTGATTTGGCACTTCACTTAAACAACTATCAATTAACTCACGAAATTTAAATGATTATAACTACAAGCACCACTGTGGAATTTACTTAGAAAATCAAACATTTTGTCTAAAATATCAAGTAAGGAATATGAAAAGTATGAAATGTGGTGCAACATTTATCTCTTTAAATAAGAGTAGTGACTATATTCACTGATTGTATTCTACTTGATAATGCAAGTCAAAAACAACATCTACGGTTTAGGAAACTCTATCAAAATAAACAAATAGGAAAAAATGCTCTAATGATATAATTTCCCTCAATACCCTGAAATTCATTAAATAATTTCTTTTATACTACATTAGATAATTTTATCAACTACTTTGCTATCATTCTATAGTAATTATAAAATTTTAACTTTGAGCTCATTTGTGTACATACAGCTTTCAGATAAAAACTTACCTCAGAAATAGAAAAAGGATGACTTTAAGACCTTTCAATAGTGACTGCTGTCATCCTGTTTTTCAAAATTTTATTTGGTAAGTATTAATTTTGAAAATAGAAACAATACCCTAATTCTAGGCCTAACTAATGATGCAGGCATAGAATTTAGGATAAAACAAATCATCTCTCGATTAGTTAGAAAAGACAGCAAATCACTGTCAATATCCTCTATGTCTTAGACCCTATAGTAGGTCTGTATTTGGCTGTCTACCAGATGACGATAACTCACACAAATACAAGTAAAGGTACATATGTAGCTGTATACCTAGGCTTACTGTATTTTTAAATCACATAACTACACTTATATATATATATATATTTTATAATTTAAAATGCATTATCTTAAAGAAAAAATATACTTACTGCCCTCTAGAGGTATGAACCAGTAGTGTAATAAGTGTAGATGTTGCTGGGCATATACAGTTTAAAGCTAACATGGCGTATTTAAACTCTTCTTCACAAACAACATGATCTGTTTGAAATAAAATAGGTAAATTAGAATAATTTACCTTGGGATAGTAGTATTTTAAAATAATATGTAAAACAGAGAATAAAATTACAAAAGCTTCCATATAAATACACTTGCTTCAGAGATGTTTTTACATGTGCAAATTTATCTCCAGGAAAAATGTTTCATAAGAGAGAGCACTAGACTATGAGGCAAGTTATTGAGGTACAGGGGGGTTCTAACCCCAGATATTTCTTTAATGAAACTGACAGCCTTTGGCAAGAAGTTTTTTTCCTGTGCCTCATCTGTACACAAAGGTAAGAAGTTGGTGGGTGTGAGGCACAGCCTGGATAGTAAATTGAAGACTATACACAGTCTCCTTTACTTCTGATAATTCTATGGTATGAAATATAATGGTGCTGATTTATAACATGATTTATTTATCAAACCCATACACATAACATAAAGACTTAGAATGTACTTATTAAAAAATGTGGCAGATAACAGTTGCACAACATACAAGTAATAATGTGTACAATCAAAACAACCACAATTATCAATCAATAAAAATTAATCCCGATATAAATATAAATTTAAATTACACCTTAACCTTAGGATCTAAGGTTATACATTCAGAAGATGATTGAGGCCAGTCAGAAATGATAATAAATGGCATAAAAAGAAATTCAATGACATAAAAACAATAGAGTGCTAGAAATGATGACACATGGTAGGGGGAGTGAAGGTCATGTTAAAAGGAGTAATGCCACTCAGCCCAAGTAAATTGTTTTCATGCAGGCATGAGTGCCCAGATGCCATATGCTCAATTTTCCACAGAAACCACATGTTAGAGAAGCAATTAATGTTTGGGAAAAAAAGTTGTTTGTTGGGGGGGGAAAAAACCTTCCCTTCCAAGTAAACTGCTGTAGCTGATATTGGAAATAAAGACTGCTTAAAGTTCTAAGAAAATAAATATTCTTAGGTAGAAAATAGCAGTTTTAGCTAATGAAGGAATAGGTTGAATTTGTGAGTCTGATCTATGAAATGAAAACATACACTATACAATTTATGATGAAACAAGATTACTTAGGAAGTGATTCATCAAATGTTCCAGACAGATAAATAATAACCTTACTCTTGTTTGCATAACATCAGTGAGCATATGAAAGAGCCCATTGTTTTTCTTTTTCCTTCATTTCGTTCTTCATTTTTTTCTTTCACATTTTATGGAAGAAATTATAAGCTCTGGTTACACATCAGGATTTACTCTTTAAAAAACTCAAGAATCTAACAATGCCTTTTTTTTTTTTGGTTGTCAGTATTATAATAATAATTTATAAGAAAAACCTCCAAAATATATAACCATGACTTAATAGTTTACAGGAAGGTGGGTAGATTCTAAATTCAAAATATCTGCAAAAGAACTGTGACTTAAACCACTATTTTAATATTTCTCAAATAATTTTAAGTATATAATGCCCAACCTATGAAAATAAAGTTACAAAAATCTTAAATGAAGAATAATTTTACTTTAGAATATGATAGCCAAACATATGGGGTTTATAAATTTTAAACCAAAACTTGAACACATGATTGAAGAAAAGTATGTGCATTTATTATGACATTAGATAGAGTATTTAAAAATCCAACTACCAGAAAATTTGGAAGGTATGATTACCATATATGCAATACCAAAGAACGCTCAAACTACCGCACAGTTGCACTCATCTCACACGCTAGTAAAGTAATGCTCAAAATTCTCCAAGCCAGGCTTCAGCAATACGTGAACTGTGAACTTCCAGATGTTCAAGCTGGATTTAGAAAAGTCAGAGGAACCAGAGATCAAATTATCAACACCCGCTGGATCATCAAAAAAGCAACAGAGTTCCAGAAAAACATCTATTTCTGCTTTATTGACTATGCCAAAGCCTT